CGAGAGAGAAGAATCTTAGTCAAGAAATCTAGGACAGATATGCCAAAAAAAATTAAACTTGCAGTGACAAGTCTAATGTACTATTCATCATCTTGAAATACTCAAACAGAATGATCAATCAAATAGGTATTTATGAGCTTGCTACAAGTTTAAAACATTATAATCGCAAGGGAAAACAGCTTAAATAGTAGCAGTTTTCTCTTGCTTATGCTTTGGTTATGATTCAAAGAGCACACCACTGTTAATGTGTAAGATTTCATAGAGAAAAATTGATAGAAAAGCATACAATAAGTTGGACTGCAGTGCAGGCACATTCCGAAGAAGTAGCGTAAACAAGGTAACCAGACCAAAAGCCCCAGCTGCTAACCATTCAGGGACAGCTGCAAAAGGGATACTTTAGTCTTACAGAATTATTTTGACATATGACATGAGACGGTGTTAAACTTTTGATAAGATAATAGCATAGCGAATTACCAGTTGTCTCTGGTTGCAAAGTCGTTTTTGGAACAACAACCGCAACTGGTTTATCATCTTCTGGATTGATAAGAAGGAAAGCCTTATATTCATCACCAAATTTGTTCTGTATATTGATTTAGAAGAAATTAAATACAGAATCAGCCATTAGCCTCCAGGATTGTACAATGGAAGAAGCAGAGTTAACATACCTGCATCCTAGTTGATATCTTTTCATAACTTCTAGCAGCCTGTCCTCGCAAATTTCCTTTGAATAATACTCCACCCTATCAAATATTACAGTAAACAAGAACATAAATGAGAAAAATAAATAAAATTGCTATTTTTTAACGTTACCTTATTCTCAAAGATAATTCAACACCTATCAGAAGAGAAGTTCAACCTATAACAATGTTTTTAAATGTTAGTATCTCCATGAAAATGTTGTGAATTTAAGTTGCGGAAGATAACTACTTGAGGCAACTTTACTTGATGTCAGCCCCTTCAGATTCTTCAGATGCATGTTTGAAAGGGGAAAAAAAGGAAGGATCAAGGAAGCCTAGAACTATCCAAATAGCTAACACACCTCATACGGTTCCTGGCTCGTCACAAAGAAAGTATCAAATGCAAATACTTGATCCTTAAGAATGTCAATGGTCTCCTTTGGAATCCTCATTGATTCATCCAGTTGCTGTGGCTGTTCAGGAAACAAGGGAAGATGTAAAAGAAGCGGGAAGAGATATTTCATGTCCAGCCTAGTGAGCAATACAGCATCATGATCACCTTCACACCTGGCAGAGGCGATCCACTAGTAACTTCGTTAGCATCAACCTCCTGTATCAAACAAACTCCTGATGTAATAAAGGCCAAACAAGCTATGAATTGATGTCTTGCATAGTGCAAAAAATTGAAGGTGAATGTGGTAGTGATGTACTAAAATACTTCAGATTGTAGGTACTGCAGGAGCCAGAAATGATGCTTAGGTTCAGAGGTGAGTTTCGGATGGATATGTATCTGGCAAGGGTATGCTCAAAATTTCTAAGTTTTTCCAGATATTTGAAGGTTCTTACTCCTATACCAATATTCAAATACAACATAATGCTAGTTATAGCTATAGCTAAATTACTGTCTAGCTTTCAGTTGGATGAAAAGATATTCGTCGAAATAGATAAAATGAGATTAAAAATCAGCCAAAGTTAAGATTTTAAGGCGATGTACATGAAATCTATCTAAGTGGCCTTTAAAAAGCACACTAGAATGATATTCCATTGAGACAGACCTGACAAGTTTGGACATGATGGATCATACAGGCATGAGCAGGACACAACACGAAAAATGTAACATGAACACAACATGAATAGCAGAATGTGTCAAATTATATGTAACAATATGGATTATTAACTATCAAATTTTGTCTAAATATATAATTTCTTAAACACAACTATAAGACATGAAATATACAAGCACACGTAGAATACCATCTCTAGTTCAGAACCAAGTAATGTAGGGACTTGCCTATTGCCCTATTCTGTCACTATACAAATACTAACACTGAATAGAAATTTAATACCTGGACAGCACCTTGAGCTGGAGTTTCTGCATCATTATTGCTTATTTGATTGACATTTATGGGCGGCAAATCAATCTGGGAATCGTTTTCCTCTGCAGAATCAGTAGTTGCCGGCTTTTCTCCACTTTCATGCTTATCTTCCTCCTACAGACGTACAACATATTATATCAAAGATCGTTTTCCTTTTCATCCAAAAATAAACCATATTGAGCTTACTGCTGGATTCAAAATTGCAAAAATATCACATGTTGACTTCATTTAAAAAGTAGAAATATGATTTGCCGAGGATAGCTCATACCTTCAAGGTTAGATTTACCAGTGAATAATGCAATAATTCCAAAAATTTATCAACACAGAAAACAAAAAAGATTTTTTTTAATGGAACTAATTTTAGTGACAAACTAATTACCTCGTCATTATTATTATCCGGTTGAGTTTCTGTGTGCGTGACTCTACAAAAAATCTCTCTTCTCCTGCAAAATCTATAAGGGAAAAAAAGAATTAATTCAGTAATTTTTCTTCTTTAGTAGAAATATTTAAAAATGAAATTATAAGAAAAAGAGCAACCTGTAGATGCGGGGAAACTTCAAATTCCTCAAACGACACCGTTGCAAGTTGGCAAAGCTCGAAGAAGACAACAATGGCTGAAGCCGAAGATCACAACAAGTGCTACATTGAGATAAGACACCAGAGTTGAGGCGAAAACTTGCTGCTAAATTCATTTTTCTTTTCTTTTTTTAATTATATCCAAATTCCTCAGTGAGAGTTTAATTCAATTCCATTGCCAAAAATCAAAGCATTTTAGGGAAAGAGAGTTTGGGTTTTTATTTCTTCCGAGTCTTATCCCTTTTTCCGTTTCTTGTAAGGAGTAACCGCGAGATGAAGATATTTATGGGAACCTATGAACCAATTGTCTTCAGACACCTGTATTATCAACTTACGTGGATTGTTCTCAGTCGTGTTCTACTTGACGAGAATCTCAATCTTGAGTGGATGCTTAGATATTTCAAACAATATCTTAATATTTTATTTTTTAAAAAATATATCTTTTTAATAATTTCACGTATGTTTTATATATTGATTTTTTTAATGTTAGAATGAAGTAAATATTATAATTCTAAAAATAAGAATATTTCTATAACATTAGTATCGGTTATTCTTTAGTTATGCAAGTGATATTAAGGTACAATTTTAGTGTTCAAAAACATATTTAACTCTTTTATTTATTACTATTATTTTTCATTTTCTCACCCCAAGCATAGGTTCCAACAGATTAAACAGTTATTTTATTTTTTTATTTAAATATTAATTACAAGTCTATCTATATGGACAAAATAAAAACACCTAAATCATTTGAAACAATTATTTTCGCATCCACAAGTTAACATCATCGAGCATTAAAAGTTATTTTTTCTTGTTTTTACAATATTCAATCTAAAATAATTGATTAATAAATTGAATACCGATAATTATAAAAAAAATACTTTTTTCTTGCATTGATTTACCAAAAGTTCATATGGGTATCACCTCATGATACTGAAACACTACCCTTAAACATATACTCTTTGTATCATGCATACCCACCACTTTCTCCCTCACAGAGTTTCCTTTTGTAACGATCCAAAATTTAAGTTGCGCTGCAACAAAATATATTTTTAGTGACATTAAGAATAATTATTAAAATTATTAAATGTAGTCACTAGAATTTATAATAAATGGTTTCTAGAATTATCACTAGTCGTCACAAAAATATTATTTTTTTCACGATTATTTATATTTTTTATTACGACACATCTTGACACACAAAAAATGTGACAAGTATTTTTATAAAAAATGTATATTTAAATTAAATAATAAAAAATCAATATATATATATATATATATTTAGTCTATTACCTCACCCCTACTTAAGGTACTACTGGCGTGGTAGTTATTATTATCAATATAATTTTCAGCTTTTGCGTGTTATAATTAGTGATTGGTTTGTATAATTAAATATCCATAGCATTTCAGGTACCTCAATATTCCAACCAAGATTGCTATGTGTTGAAATTAACACTCATCAAGAAGGTTGGGCCTTCTAAGGCTGCACTTCTTGCCAAGCTTGTAATTAGGCCCTTTTAATATGGTCTTCTTGTCATGTTTGTTTATGACAATGGAGGTATTGTATCTTACTTAAGATCGATATCACAACTAGGGCTGTGAGTGATCGAACTCTTAGGAATTTTAAGAATATTAGGTTTCAGAAATAGAGAGAATTGAGAACAAATAATTCATTCATTCAAACGTGTTTTTGCATACAAGCATTTTCAGGATATATAGACCTTCCAGTACAGAGAAGTTATTTTTTTACAAAACTAACTCGTCCTTTCCTCCTAATACATTGCTAGGTTGTGATGAGCTATGGTGACTCAGTCGGTTTGGGCTTCTCCAGGTCCATCTCTCTTTCTTCAGTTGTTGGGCTGAGTGTGTAATCCAATCTCTTCAATGCTTATATCATAAACTCATCAGTCTTCATTATAAGAACGACGCTGTTTGGCTGCTCAATTTCTATTCCTTCTCTTCATTTGGTTCAATTCGAATCCTTTAACATCTTTTCATTTCAATCCCTAAATTCCCAATTGCTCGTTTGTCTTCTTCACCCAATGCTCTGACAATCGTGTCTGATGACGATATGTGATTTGATCACTTTTGATTTGTGCTTCCATTGCCTCCGAAAGTTGAGAATTATTTACTTTATGATTTTATTATTATTATTATTATCATTATCATTATTATTTTTTGCATTCAAAATGGAAGGGTAGCGGCCAAGGCAGACCGAGCTTTTGAAAATTTCCGGTTCTATAATCTGTATAGCCAAATAAGTCGATTTTCATTTCAATGGTTTCGAGCTACCTTTTTTAACATCGGCTTGGAAATCATTAATCTGGGGAAAAGAATCAAGTACTACCTAGTCAAATCTAAATTGGTGAAGTGCTAAACATGAACGTGATAATAATACACGAAAATCATACACAAATACAGGTCAATCCTCAAAACATATTAAAGCCTACATCAAAATCCAAATATTCTACAGACTCACCGTGATTGAGCTAAATGGGTGGAAATTTTGGAACTCTGGCATCACCAAAACCAACTGTCGCGGCCGTCGATAGCCTTCATATTAGTTGGCACTAAGGGCATTCGTTTGAACTCACCCACAAACTTGTTAACACATTCGGTTCTTCTTTCACTGTGACCTCCTATGCTGCTAATGCCAGTTGAACCCATCTCAAATATTTTCCCTACCATTGGACCACATGAATTCAATTTAACATATATCCATGGAGCTGTAATCAAACACAAACATGCAGAGCTTTTGCTAAAATCAGTTGAATTCATTTCTACATGTACGGCTCAGCTTATAAACGAGCAACTACAGTGCAGCATTTATACAAACAGGCAATACAGGCATGTCCGTATAGACTCTTGTGATTACTACTTAATTGCTGCCGCTTTCTATTTTTTAAAGGTTCTTTTTAATGTATATGCCACCAATCATTTTATCATGAGCATTGTAAAAGGGAAAGAAAAATACGGTATAGATGAAGACTCGTTTGAATATTACCTTTAACCCATATGGGAGGAGTACTAGTTGCATTTGCAACTAGAAATGACATCGCGATATCTTCGCAATTCCTGGTGAATTCAGCATTGGAGTTAGTATAATAATAATTAATAAACATTTAAGATGCAAAACATTTTAAAAGTCTGCAATAGTAGTAAATGAAAAAGGACCTGTTCTTGGTTATGTATTCTTTAATTGATGCTGGCATCTCATCAGTGTAAAGTTTGAGATACTTCTTGTGGAAGAAGGCAATCTTTGAGAGTACCATGCTGTATGAACCAGTCCACCAAACGGACCACCATCCGCCATATTTGTATTTACCATTTCCTTTCTGCATCAAGATGAACAAATCAAGAAGGTTCTTCTATTGTGTAATTTGGATATGATCCTCTAATTTCTTACAACAGAAAAAGGGTTTAACAAGTGTCAGAATTCAACTCATTAGTCGATACATGGACAAAGCTATAAGCTAAACTTCTCAATGTATACGGGAACTTTCATCAATCAAAGCAGAACCGAAGAAATGGAAACTTCAAGATCTAAGACATTAAGCCATTTCGATGAATCAATAGCATGAGTTTTAGACTTGTAGTCAAGGCTTATAGTTACATGTTTAAGTTGCAAGAAATTCTAACGAAGAACATTGACAACAATAATGAGGCTTAGAGCCATATATTGTCATATAGGCATATCTCGACAAGTCAGTAGCTCTGTGACCATAAAACTTAACAAAAGAAACCGATAAGAAGAGGCTACAGGAAGACTAAAATCAAAATCTACGAAACTGCAAGACAGAAGCATAGCGTACCTTTCGATCCACCCAATGCATACGAGGAACATATCCCACCATTGTATCTGGGGCACTTTGCCAAACAGTGAAAGCAAACTCCACGGAAGAGCAAGGGAATATAATATCATCATCAATCGAGAAAACCGCATCCGTCCTCAAATCCTTAATTTCTTTAAATCTGTTGTTCAAGCTATCTTCTTTATTGATATCAAATACCAACTCAACTTGTTGATCCTTTCTAGAGTTCAACCGCACAACATGATTAAGATATCTCTTAAGCGAATCGGATGGAGGATCCGGCTCGCTCCATACAATATGTATTGAATCGAGCTTTGGACAAGAAACGTAGTGGGAAATCGACTTCTTCAAGAGATCATATCTTTTCCATGTATTCATTACAATCGAGTATCTTCCCCTGTATAGAAAAGATTATACAATCCAGTAGTGAACATCATCACTTTATTATCAAATTTGGGAAATTTGTCAGTAAATGCCTTCAACAGATTTCGATTGTCAACTGTAATATCAATCAACTTTTGACATTTTCTTTAATAACAATTTAAGCTCAAAAAGGTTTTGTTTGAGTTCAATATACATTAGGGGATAAAAATCTTTTAAAAGATCAACTTTCCTAAACCAGAATCTTCATTAAAGATCTAACAGAATAAACACTAAAAATTAACTTAAATTTTAAGTTTAAATAATCAATCATTTCTCAACAATTTCAGCTGAAACAGGTTAAGTCTTAGATCCTAACTGTTGTTATAGTTTATGAAATATTTAAATTTCCATAAATAAAAACACTTTAAAGAACTTTATAACCTGAGGGGGCTTTTCATAATTTTTTTTAAAATGTTATTCTATAGTAATAGCGAAACGCACCTTGGAGAATAAGAGCGGTCAACGTCACCGGTCCATCCCATCAACGAAGAAGAACCGGTGCGGTTTCGGTTGGCGACGGCGAGTATAGTTAACGCGAGACAACCTAAGATAAGGAACATGATCTTGGCCGATCCAAGGGTCCCGATCGCAACTTGACGCCACTTGAAAACCGATCGACGGCTAATCGGTAAACTTCCCCTCATCGCCTTCTACCTCTGAAATTCCTCAATATCTTCCTTAATTTTTCCTTACAAGAAGACTGAGTCTGTCCCAACTCAAGGGGTGTGAGTCTGAATGGAGCCCGAATCACGAAACTGAAAACCTCATCCGGTTATTATTATGTTACAAAGTATCTTATTTGGTTCCGGTGCGATGAGATCAAGGGATGATTCTCGCCGGAGCGGGAGAACCGGAGGAAGGAGGCAGGGAAGGGGGGAGAATAATAGGGTGTAGTGATGTGCAGGAGGTTAAGGAAATGGAGTCCAAAAGATGGATACAAGGATAACACGTGGTAGGATATTATTGGTTGAAACTGAGATGTTGATGTGCTCTTACGTTTTCCCGTCCATTCCACTGTATGTAGTTCGTTTCTTTTTAAGATTTATCATGTCCTGATAGAAGAAAAGATACGTTGACGTGAAAGAAAGGTCATGACAACCGTTAGATTTAAATCTGTTGGTTATTTGCCGCTAGTTCTAGAGAAAGTCTCACGTGGATGGTTAAGGAAATATGTTATAGATTTTGTTATTATTTTTTGAATAAAATCGATAAAAAATTACCTAAAATTTTATTATTTTTATTGATTTGTTATTATTTGGAGTTTTATCGATTTTGTTAACATATTTTAAGTAAATTTTAAGTAATATTTTAAGTAAATTTTTACCGGTTTTATTAAAAAAATAATAACAAAACCGTTAGTACATTTCCTTAGTTGTATATTAAGACTGTCGCACGGTAGAATTTTCCTTAGTTATGATGCGAGTAGGAAACCTAAAGATTAATTTTTGACTGCTTTAATCTAAAATTTATATTACTTATTTTAAAATGTATAAAATTGATGATAATTTTGTTTACAAATCATAATGTTATATTACAATGAGTTTTAACTTAAAATATTATTAGTTTTTTTAATTACACAATTAGTAATAATTTTAAATACAATCTAGAATGTTACATGACTTTCTTGACGATAATTTATTAGGTTGTAATTTTCATGATTATGTAATTTTTATGATTTATTGTATAGAATGTAATATTTTCAATTGCAACATAAAATGTTACACAATTTACACTAAAACATAACACACTTGATAAGCTCTTTAATTTCAAAATTATATCGTTTTGAACACTAATCGATCTAGTTCTTTAATTTCAAAATTATATCGTTTTGAACACTAATCTTTAAGGGTATATCATTTTGTCATTGAACTTTTAAACATTTCACTTTTTTGAGATTGTTCTTTTTGGTTGCCGTCAGTAGTCAGTTATCACCCCTCACTTATTGTTTTTCACAGTAGAATCGGTACCAAAATATTTGTATTTCACTCATCTTTATTCTCTTATGATTAGTTTTTTACAAAACTCACTCAAAATCGATATAATTAAATAAAAAATCTATTATTTTTAGATGTTTAGAGGCTTCTTAGATTTACGAGATTTGAAGTGTTTGTTTAAAAATACGAACGATGACTTGATGAGAAACAATATTTCGAGAAGACAAACAACAAACCTCACAAGTCACAATTAGCCTTATCAGATAGTCATTGAAAGAAATTGCATTATTAATACGTAAAATTTTTAAATGAATTTTTGTGGGTTTTGTAAAATACCAATCCTATGAGTAAGAAAGAGGAGTGAAATGAGCAATGGTGGAATTTGGCGATATAATTTGGGGTGTCCAACTTAAAACTTTAAAAAATTTAGAGGTTCAAATTAAAATATTCAAAAAAAATTAAGGTACAATTTATTTATTTATTTTCAAAAAAATATTGGGGTATAACTCAATTTTTTAAAATTTTGAGAAGCTAATGAATTTTTTTAAAATTATGGGAGGGTTTAATTAAGAATATTAAAAAAAATTAAGTTTTATATGAATTTCTAAAAAATTTGTGGGGGGGGCAAATTAAAATTTTAAAAAAGTTTAAAGTACTAAACTGTAATTTTTAATTTTTTTAGGGGCCATGTTCCGTCCCCGAAAATGAGAACATTTTGATATCCATCTTGCCCGAAAGAGGATAATCGGTTGTCTTTGACGGTAAAAAAATGCAATATCAAACAAAATAAACGGCTTAAAAGTTGAATGGTGATTGATACACCCTTAAAATTTAGTATCGAAAACGATGCTGTTTTGGTATGATTCACCACATCAACAACCACTAGGCGTGTTAACCATCAGACTAAAAACAGTTTGTAATAATTTGTTTAATAGTGTAGCGAGCTAATTAAGTCTATTGACGAACTTCAAAATTAATCAGATCGTGATTAGACTTATAAAGCCCTCTAATTTCAAAATCAAGACACGTGCTATGATTTACATTGTCCTTCGTTTTTATCGAGTTTACATTGTACTCGGTTTTTAGGGATGGGATTACAGAGAATTGTTTTGGTAAAACTATTTTGTTAATACATGTATTATACGTAAATTATAAATTTAATAAGTATATTTTAATTTGACAAATTTTCAGAACTATATTTTTTTAAAATTTTAAATTTTAACATTAAATAAAAATAATACAGATATAATATAATTAAATTATATAATTGCATAATGCCAAAATTAGAGTCCAAAGTTTATCAAAATGATCATTTTACCTATTATTCTATTTTTGAGCATTTTAGCCTCCAACATTTCATTTTAAGACAAAAAAACCCCTAATACTTGACAGAATAATCACTTTATCTCTTATTCTTTTTTATGACATTTTGGCCCTCAGCGTTTCATTTTATGTTAAAAAACTCTTATTTCATAGCGTTAATCGTGTGTTAACTAATGATTTTTATCTATAGAGAGAGCTTTTTGTCCCACAGTGAAACGTTGAAGGTTAAAATGATTATTTTAGTAAACGTTGGGGGCTACTTTTACCGTTATACCTTATATAATTTAGAATTATCAAATTCTAGAACAAGAATAGAATCTATAGCTAACGTAGAATATAAGGGTTAATGATATAATTTAATTTTATAAATTTAAAGCTCATTGCTTAGATAAAGATTGAAATTCTAAAATCTAAAAAGTATAAAAATTAAAAATGGTCAAATTAAAGTATAAGGAATAAATTTACGACATATGTGTAATATAAGTAGTAATTATAAAATCTGACCAACTGTTGTCACATCCTTGCAACTACAATGTCTAAATGAAGAAAATAATAGTTGGAAATTAATTTACGTCTAGAAACTATCATTACAAAACCTAGTTTTTTTTTCAATGGATATTTTATTTTTCAAGAACGATGTCTGGAAATCTATGCAATGAGCAGTGATGTAGGCTTGAATTCTAATAATAAAACAAACGAAATAATCAAACATCAAATTAACTCAAGGATATTCTATAACCCAATGCATGTTTGAATAGTCAACATAAATACTGTAATATAATTTAAATGCCAACGTTGAATGTCACTTGATATATTACATAAGTTTATAGATGTTCATAAGTTATCCAAAATCATTATTTTTTTCTCTCGACGTCAAATCGTCATAAATAAAATAATAAAGTATCAATATGGTCAAAAAAGATAACCGCCACTGACGATTGAAAAATAAAATAATAATGACGCAATAATTTCCGAGCTTGTCAAGTTATATAAACTCATCCAATCAAACAAGAACAAAGCATCAAAGTAAGCATAAAAACAGTAGCCTGTTTTCGTATCAATTCGTTCATAAAATAAATCCTGAGAAAACTAGAAAATGGAAAATGGAGGTGAGAGATTCAACTGGGGTAAATCTTTGCCAGTTCCAAGCATCCAGGAGATTGTGAAGAGTGATTTACACTCGGTTCCCGAGAGATATGTTCATGAAAATATGGATAGGCCAGTCATTTCTGAGAATTTGGCTGATTCACTTGAAATTCCTTTCATAGATTTCTCTTCTCTAGCCAAAGGTGATGAAGATGAAATCAAGAAGCTGCACCTTGCTTGCAAGGACTGGGGCTTTTTCCAGGTAAACCCCATCTCCCAACATATATTTTTGGGCAAACAATATATCTAAGTATCCATTTGTTCTCGTTGTTCCGTTTTGATTTTTTTTCCAAAATCGTATATAATGTTACATTTGAGCAGTTGATTACACCTCTTCTCGAATTCAGTTCAAGTTTGATTGCACCTGTAATTGTTTTTAACAGTTGATAAATCATGGGGTGAAAGAGGAGCTCCTGGAGAAGATGAAAGCAGCTGCGTCAGCTTTCTATGAACTTCCACTTGACGAGAAAAACAAGTACGCAAAATCAGAAAATGAAATCCAAGGATATGGCCAAAACTTTGTAGTATCTGAGAATCAAAAGCTTGATTGGTCCGACATGATTTATTTAATCACTGTTCCATCCGAAAACAGGAAATACAAGTTCTGGCCCCTCACTTTACCAGGTTTCAAGTACGAATATTCTTGCTTTACCACTATTTAATTACTATATATATATAATTTTAGGATATATGATATATCATGTATTTGTATTATTTATGATCTTTAATTTTATACTGAAGTATTATTTCTCTCATCCATAAAGATAGTCAAACCAAACAACGTTATATATCCCCTCTTATGTGATCTCTTTCATGTTAATTTCGTTTAGATTATTTTTCTACTCACAAATTCCTAAAACGTGCATTCGATATGAATCCGATATTCTTATGTGATATTGATTTTCGTAGAATTGTGTTTGTTCGCAGGGAAACATTGGAAGAATACTCGAGAGAAATGCAAAAGGTAGCAGAGGAAATCCAAGCAAACTTTTCAGTTTTGATGGGGTTAGAAAGGGATGGGTTGAAAAGATTACAAGGGGAGCTTAAACAAGGCATAAGAATGAATTATTACCCAATTTGTGCGAGGCCTGACATTGTTCTTGGGATTAGCCCTCACTCTGATGGCACAAGTTTCACTTTGTTGTTGCAAGATGATCAAGTTACTGGCCTCCAAATCAAGCACAAAGATGCATGGATCCCTGTTAAACCTGTCCCAAATTCGCTTGTCGTCAACGTTGGCGACGCCACTGAGGTAACCTATATCAGTTGCAGCTAAATTTAATTTCTTTTAGGTGCCCTTATGCTTAGTGACGGATACAAGGATCAAGAGAGGATTCTAATTCAAGGGGATATGATATAACTAACAATAGAAAATGGGAGGGACAAAATCAAAATAAATCAAAATTTGAAGGTTTATATTGGTATTTATCTCTATATACTTTTTAATGATAAAAAATTAGGACACTATATATAGCTTCGTCCCAGAGTGGATCCATATTAGGGTAATCACATGCCCATTGAAATCTGAATTTTCTTCAATTAGTTGATACATTAATCATGTCACCCTGAAATTTTGTTTATGTTTATCCCATTCAAAAATTTTATGTTATAAACATATGTTTATCCACCCTAAAAATATTTATGAATCTGCCACTGTTTATGCTAATTTTTTAGTTTATTGTTTTCTCAGATTCAAAGCAATGGAATGTACAAAAGCATTGAACATAGAGGCGTGACAAATGAGAAGAAACCAAGAATATCAATTGCAACATTCATGTTTCCAGATGATGAACAAGAAATTGGTCCACTTGAGACAATGATAGATGACCAAAATCATCCCAAACTGTATAGAAATATCAAGTATGTTGATTTTGTTAGGGAAAAATTTTCCAGGAAAATGCAAGGAAAATCTCACACTGAATTTGTCAAGCTATACAAGTAGTAAACACTACCTTGTGTTTCTCCTTATTTAACTACGAAATAAATAAAGCAATTAGGTCTGTTAAATAATATTCGTGTTTCAAATAATAATCTTTATATTTATCATTACATTTTTTCCTATTTCTCCTTAAATCAAGAGTAGATGATCAATCTTGGATGGATCGCCTTAAAATAATTCTAAGCTATAACTGCTTTGAATTCCATTGCATGCAAATAGAATGAAACTTTTACATGTAAATTGGTTATAACGTTGGAGTGGTATCTACCCTTATGGTGCGTTTGGTTCACATAATGTAAGATTACCAGTGGAAATGTAAGATTACCATGGAATAAGATTACTGGAATGTTGTATTTTGTATTTTGTTGACTTAGCAGGAATGTAAGATTACCGTGTTTGGTTAAAAGAATAAAAGATTATTGGAATGTATATTTGACCAAATTGTCCTTATTATATATTTGTTTTTTTAACAAGTTGTAAAATATTTATATATTTTCTTTAAAAAAATTAAATTCATAAAATTTATATAATTTTTTTTACAAAATTGAAAATATAAAAAGGTTTAATGAAAGGGTAAAATTTTATTTTAATCCCTGAACTTCATATAAAATTTTAATTATATATTTTTTTATAAATCTAAAATAGTTTAAGGATAAATTTGTAATTTAACCTTCGTAGAATTTTTATTATTCAATGACAAAATAATGATATTTTTGAAAGAAAAAAAATTAAGGGCATTTTAGTCCAAAACGCCGATAATCCAACAATACCTAAGGAAAGTGAGGTAATGACATTCCCGGTAATATACCCCAAAAATTTCACTATTGATAATCTTGCATTACCAGTAATGGAATTCCCGGGCTAACCAAACGGTGGAATTCCCATGGGAATCACACATTCCCCCATCCAAACACCCCCTTACATGTAGGGTGGCTATCAAGTTGGAGAGACGTGTAGTGTGTAAATATAACAGGGACAGAATCATAACTTAATTTAATATAGGGCGAATCTTTTTAACGGGTTTAAATTTTATATATAATTTTATATTTATTATTTATTTGTTTTAAAAAATATAAGTGACAACGTAAATATGCATGTTAATTCTATCATTTCTATGAAATAACAAATATAAAATTATATATAAAATTAAAATAAATAATTAAAAATGTACGGTTTTAGAATGTGTCAAAGAGATAACTATCACATAATCATAATAAAAACTCTTCGCCCTTTCAAATCTCGAAATTCATCCACGAGTGATATTGTACTAAATATACTAAAATTAAATATAAGATCAAACAACTCCAAATTAATAAATATAATATTGCTTAATTGCTTACTTTTGAAAATTTATACTCAATTGAATTTGGATCACTTTAGTAAATCTCTAACAATCATAGTAGAATGAGCTTACTTTTGTTGTGGAGTTGATGGTTCTATCGTAATATTTTATGATGGAAGAACGAAGACTTTACAACTTATTATATTTTGTTTTGAGAAAGACAAAATCTCTGTAATTTTTAGGGTAACTATACGTTTAGTACCTAAACTATTATTTTTGTTCTATTTAGGTACCTAAACTTTATTTTTTCCAAAATTATATCTAACATTTAGTTTAAGTTTCATTTTGGTACCCCCATCGTTAAAAACTTACTGGTGATATTGATGTGTCACCATAAAATAATGTCACGTTATTATTGAAAAAAAATAAAAAAAATGTCATGTCAATAGTTCTGTTAATTTTTTAAATGACGAGTATCAAATTAAAACTTAAGCTAAACGTTAGATATGGTTTTTAAAAAATAAAGTTTAAGAACTAAAACCAAATAAAAATAATAATTTAGGTACTAAACTTATAGTTTACCCAATGTTTTACGTTCTTATACTAATATAAAAATTAAATTTATAAATCACGACAGGGCCATTGAGGCCCAATATATATATATATATATATATATATATATTGAATAGAAAAGCAGCCTAATAATTAAGTAGTACTAGGCGAAATTACAACGAATATAAGGAAGTTCAGACGCATCTCAGTCTAAAAGATTGTCAATACCGTAAAAATGCTATCAATGATTTTCAGTTTGTCATTGGCGCCATCGTCGAGCTTCGAAAGAAAATCTACAACCCTTTTTATTTAGGGTAAATTACATGTTTAGCACCTAATTTTTCATTTTTCTTAAAAATCATATTTAATGTTTGTTTTTTATTTTATTTTAGTACACTGCTGTTAAAATCTTAATGGACTGGCTCATCAGCATCCGTGCTGTCTGTCGTATCCATCGGTCAATGAAACTCAAATTTTTCAACCCGCACTTCTTAGACCCCCGAATGCGATTTCGGAATTCATTTCAACGAAAAACGCCTATCTCCCAAAATCGACGATGAATTCTTCAATTTCTTGATCCTCCGATCCCCATGATCCACCATCCAATGGACTTAAAACTGGACTATGTTGGTCGACTCGTCATTTTCTCGTGGTTCACCGTTCAGATTGGTCGTCCGTCCATCGGAGCTATGCTACGTCAGCCCATCCGTTAAGTTTTTAACAACAGAAAACTAAAATGAAACAAAAACTAAATAATTTTAAAAACAAAAATCTTAAAACGGATCAAAATTGACAGTTTAAATACTAAAATTAATCAAAATTAATAGTTTAAGTATTAAATGCATAATTTATCCCTTTATTTTTTGCGAGATAAGTTTGAAGTCTACCATCCATAGCCTATCCAACAGATAAAAAATACCTCGAACCAGGAAATGAAAAGACGGATAAGTTTTTTCACATAAATGAAATTATGGAAATAATAGAGGGGTTAGGAAATGATATAGAAGCGTGCCACTTGGTTTATATTGCTTCAATGTTAAAGTGGAGAAAAAGCTCGACGTCAGATTAATGGATAAAGAGTCGATGCTTGATGACAATTTGATATTACGATAAGGGTTTTTTGTTTATTTCAGAATGATTAAATGTTGAATGATTTAAATATTGAATGATTCAGAGACTCTGTATGAATTAGTTCTGAATATGACATGATGTTTGATAATGACTCTGAATCATTCAGAATGTACTTCTGTGCTGAATCATTCAGAATATACTTTCGTGCTAAATCATTCAACACTATTTTGTTGAATCATTCAACACTGAATCATTCAGAGGTGCGAAACAAACACGTTAAATGCTAAACTGATCAACATTCAACGCTGAATAATTATATTAAAAGACAAACAAACAACCCCTAAAATAACAATTCAACACCAGATTCAATGTGACTTGTAAAGCAAAAGATTTATGCCCGACAAAGAGTTTGCAATATAAATTGGCCTTTTCCAAGCTCATAAATCGTTGCCACCCATAGCAACGCTATGCATTTATAGTCTCCCTCATTTAAGTGGTTAGGGTTGTTCATTTCTAAGTTTTCACATAATTAATTGATCAAACTAAATTAGTTCGGTTGAGGAACGATTATTTTTTTAATATTTGATGAACGATTAATTTAATTTAAAATCAGTTAATTAATCGAAAATATTAAATATATTAAATACATATTTTAAACTCAAACTCATTAAGAATTATGACCCAATTTGATCTATGCGTGTTGTTTTATTTATTTAAATTTTAGTTTGTAATTTCATGTTTGCTCAATTTAATCATTAAAAGTATATTTTTATCCTAAATTAGCCCATAATTATTTCTATTTATTGTAATTTACTCCTAATCATATACAATTATAAATTACAATTCAACGTTTATGAAAGGCGAAAAATAATTCATCAAAAAATGACCTAACATAGAGTATGTTCGTACCTGGTACTATCCAACTTGAATTTTATTTATCAATGACACGACTTGATCTGAATGAGACGCGACTTGAAGTACATCCGAACCTGAATTAACATGATATTTAACTAATTTCGATCCGAATCGTTTTGACCGAAATTGATATTGATCTGAACTGAAATTAACCCGAACTGAATCTGATTTCAAATCAATCTAAAAATAAATTGAACCCGAGTTGACACAGATCCAACCTAATTCGAGTCGAACCATCAAATTAACTTGACATAATTTATATATGATTTAACCTAACATGACATGATTCAACTTGAAACCAAAACGATTACATGATCACATTTTACTCCAAACTATTAAAAAAAAAAGAACTAAGGATCATGACCTGAAGTGTGTGAGCCAACTTCTAAAACCTGTCCACACGAAACCGGAATTACTAGTAATCATCGGATCGTTTTTCCTTCAAAACTAGTAATGACTGTGAAACTTATCCAATCAGCACATCTGCCTATGGTCTAGCTTTGCAACTAAGCAACTGTTTTTTTAAATAATGGTTACAAATGTAGAAGTGTACTTATAATTAATGTTCCTACACATCATGATTTATTATAACTAATTTAGTTGGTAACTACTTTTAATGCAATATATATATTTGGTTGGGGCTTAAATCATATAATATATGTTTTCAAGTGTGAAAATGGTTGGTGACCATCAGGGGTTTTAACAACTATTTATTCATTTAAATAAATTATTATATGATTTTTTTTAAAAATGTTCAACTTGTGTTGCTCAATTTTTTTTTTATAATTAACATTATAAACATAAAAATTATAACATAACAATATTATGAATAAAAAAACTTATGAAATTGATTTAGTTGTTTGATGTCTTTAATTTTAAATGAATATTAATGATAATTTTTAGAGGAAGTCGAATGATTCTAAGCTAGATTTGTTGAGTCTAAGACATTTTCTAGTGAAACAGATACATGAATCATGTTTAAGAGGCTAAAAAGAGTGAATTGAAAATTTTGGGACATATTGATCGATGGCGGCATGATCATTGGCAACTAACGACGATGGTCAATGGCAACTGATGATGGAAGACTTTGGTTGAATTTATGGGTCAAAATGATATTTAATCTAAAGTTTAGAAGATAAAATAATATTTATCTAAAGTTTAAGGGTCAGATTAAAAATTAATATATTTTACTAACGTATCACATAATCAAACTAATAAGAATCAACAACTTAATAACCAAAATATAATAATTGACAACATAAATAAACAAAATTTAATAAATCAATAATATAAATAATTAAAACGTAACTTTTTTTATGTTATCCTTTGAGTTTCCAGGTCCGAGTATCGCAAAACGGGCTCTTATTACCAAATGGTTGGGAGTCTTTGAATGTATATTACCTTATATTTACCCATATTTATAAAAAAAATTAACTTTTTTAAATTTAATAAAAAATTGTACAAATATAAAATAAAATGATCAATATGATACTTCACCTTTTTTAAGCTTAGTATAAACATAAATATTCAAACTATACATAATTTTCCATTTAGGTGTTTAAACATTTTTGTCAATTTAGGTGCCTCAATCATGACGCATTTTAAAAAAATTCTTCAACCGCTCAAAATGATACATGTGACACATTTATAAAAATTTTGAAAAAAAATATTATCTTTAAAAAATTATTATTATTATTAAAAAAAATTCTAAAATTTCAAAAAATTCACCCTACCCGTCGGCTGTCCACCACTGCTGTCGTCCACATCGACAACCTACCCATTAACTGTCACCTAACCACTCATCGATCGTCATCAATCTAGCTTCAACCCCCCCTAAATCTCTAAATTTAAATCCTTAAATACAAACCCTAAATCCCTACATTCCAACACTCATCCATCCCAATAGGTGGATGAGTGGTTGAAGGGTGGTCGACGAGTGATTCGATGATCATTGGCGGTGGTGGTAGTCGACATATGAATTAAAAGTCTTGGGTCATCTTATAAAAAATAGGAAAGTTAGATTATTTTTGAAAATGTATGATTTAAAAAAATAAAAGTAATAAAAAATCAAGTTACATGTCAAACACTGATTGATTAACTTATTTTTAAAAGATTTTTAACGGTTGTTACAATGTTAATACCTAAACAATAACATTAGAAATGTTAGACATTTAAATTGAGTAAAAATAATTTAGATACCTAAATAAAAAATATATAATTTAAACACTTATTTCTATATTAAGTTCGTTGGTTGGTACTTAGAGCCCAATGACGAGTTCTCATTTCAAAGAATCCAACGGCCTAGATATATAGAGGTTCTACCCAATGTGACTCGAAAACAAGAGAGCCTCCGCCCGAGACTCGACCCGATCAAAACAATGTTCACCCGATCTGACCCGACCCGAATATATAACTTAGAAAATCGACCGACCCAACCCGAAATAAGAAAAAAATATTTTTATTCAATAAAAATAATGACTTAATTAAAAAATGGTATATAGAGAGGTATTATTGTAATTATTTCTAAATATATGAGGTAAAATTATATATTTTTTCGGGTCAGGTCTGATATTTTTTACCCTAAATTCAAACCTGACCTGAATATTACACTTAAAAAAATCTAACATAACCCGAATCTTTTTTTTTTTTGGAAAAAATCGGCCCGATCCTTGTCACCTTCTTATACTCATTGCATTTCTCTAGCTTTCCTCTGCATTTCAAAGAACCGGCTCCTCTTAACTCTCTGTAAGACTGTAACCCTCACTTCCTTCCCCATCAAACAGGCCTTCGATTTTCAAAAGGTGGTATTTTCCTGACCCTTCAATTAGATCTGCTGGTATCTCTTGATTTTCTTCTAACTTGGTTGTTTTTTTATTATTAGTTTTTCCATGGCTTTGATCTGTTTTATGAATTCCTTCTTCTTCGTTTTTATCGAAATAAAGAAAAACGATCCCATATTAAGCATTTGATTTATTTTTGTGTGTGTTTACTTGAGTCTTATTTGTGGTCATCCAGTTTCTGAGTTGACTTATGCATTTCTTTGGCTGATCTGTTTTGATGATGCTTTAGATTCTAGGTTCTTAATGGGATCTAAGGATGCTTGAATTATGATTTCTGATTAAATTACAAAAGGATTGGCTTCTGTTTTGATTTGACTCAGTATATTTTTGAATGTTTCGTTGCTGGAATTTATGGAAAAGTCTAAGCTTTTTAGTAATTATTTTTCTTTGTAACTTGAATATTGATCCCAAAAGACAATATTTTTTTGTTATAAATTGTAGGTCGTAGAAAATGGCAGATGGCGAAGATATTCAGCCACTTGTTTGTGACAATGGAACTGGAATGGTTAAGGTAAATCATTCGAAAGCTTTCATCTTTGTGGGAATCTTGTGTTTTTTCTCTTAAAATGAATCAAGTATTATGTCAGTTAAGGTTGATGTTTATGCATTTTCATATGATGTAATTCCAATGTACAAATGTTATGTTTTAGGCTGGGTTTGCCGGGGACGATGCTCCCCGTGCCGTATTCCCTAGCATCGTCGGTCGTCCACGTCACACTGGTGTGATGGTTGGCATGGGCCAGAAAGATGCATATGTTGGTGATGAAGCTCAATCAAAGAGAGGTATTTTGACTTTGAAATACCCTATTGAGCATGGTATTGTGAGCAACTGGGATGATATGGAAAAGATTTGGCATCATACCTTCAACAATGAGCTTCGCGTTGCTCCAGAAGAGCACCCTGTTCTCCTTACCGAGGCTCCTCTCAACCCGAAAGCTAATCGCGAGAAAATGACCCAAATTATGTTCGAGACCTTTAATGCCCCTGCTATGTATGTCGCTATTCAGGCAGTGCTCTCACTTTATGCCAGTGGTCGTACAACTGGTAAGCATCATTTAATCGATAAACAATTGATACATTCAGTTTCATCTGTGTTTTCGTATTTCTGAACTTCGAGAAATTGACCTATTGGCTTGATGGTATTGGCTTGAGAACTGAACTCACTGAATGTTTATTGTTGGAGTTGAATTGAATTTAAAGCAGATCATATTTTTTGCTATACAAGAGATTAGGGATGTAACATCTTTCTGCCCTTTTTATGTTAGGTATTGTGATGGACTCCGGAGATGGTGTCAGCCACACAGTCCCAATTTATGAGGGTTATGCTCTCCCACATGCCATTCTTCGTCTCGACTTGGCTGGGCGAGACCTCACCGATTACTTGATGAAAATTTTGACTGAACGTGGATATTCATTCACCACCACAGCTGAACGGGAAATTGTGAGAGACGTTAAGGAAAAGCTCTCATACATTGCTCTTGACTACGAACAGGAGCTGGAGTCCTCGAAAACAAGCTCATCAGTGGAGAAGAGCTACGAATTACCAGATGGTCAGGTTATTACCATCGGTGCTGAACGTTTCCGTTGTCCCGAAGTGCTTTTCCAACCATCCTTGATCGGTATGGAAGCTGCAGGCATCCACGAGACCACATACAACTCCATAATGAAGTGCGATGTGGATATCCGGAAAGATTTGTATGGTAACATTGTCCTTAGCGGTGGTACAACCATGTTCCCAGGAATCGCTGACAGAATGAGCAAAGAGATCTCAGCACTCGCTCCCAGCAGCATGAAGATCAAGGTTGTTGCTCCACCTGAACGGAAGTACAGCGTCTGGATTGGAGGTTCGATCTTGGCTTCCCTCAGCACCTTCCAACAAGTAAGCTACCGTACACCATTGATTCACCTATATGTTCTACGTATAACCGATGTATCAGCATACTGATTTGGTCTAATATTTGGGTTGCAGATGTGGATTGCGAAGGCGGAGTACGACGAATCAGGTCCAGCAATAGTCCACAGGAAATGCTTCTAAATGTATTTGAAAGGGTCAGAGAAAGAAGTAGGGTTTCATTGTTTCTTGATGCACCTTGGAACTTTGCGTTGTTTTAGTAGCTTTGTTATCCATCTATGTTTGTTTTTCATGTTGGAGTGAAACAATCAACTTTGAGACAAAAACACTTTTTTTTATTCTTTCAATTTCAGATGACATTCTTTTACCGTTTACTTTTTACTTGTATTGCTGCCAATTACTTTTTACTCTCTTTTAATACAATATTACCATTGTTTTTATTCATTTGAAACAGTTCTTTTTTTCCCCTTCTAAATTTTATTTATAGTTTTAGACTAGGGATTACATTGGGACTTAATAATCTGTTGACACATGGCATCTTCAGATTGGAGGGATAATTTTTTAAATAAATTAAAATTAGAACTAAATTAATAGAATATGTAAATATTATGGACCAAATGTATAGTTATGTCAATTTTATTTACTGTCACGTTATCATCTTCATAAAATGTTAACAACTAAAATAATTGGGTGGTCTGATTGTCAAAATCAAAACATCGATGGTCAAAATGAAGGGGGCAATAATTGAGTGGTTATCTGTGTAATTTACCCTAAATGCTTTACTTAATTCGATTTATTTAGTTTATTATAATATGAATTAAACTCTCTTTGTGATTCTAGTCCTTTTTTTGGGAGGATTTTGTGATACTTTTTACTTGAATGATACTGGTTAGAGAATTAGATAATATAATTTAAACATTTTAAAAATATTTTTGAATATTCATATGAATAGATGTGATCTTTTGGATTTCAACTCTCTAACATGTCTTTCAAAAGAGGACACTATTTTTGAAATAAAATAATAATACTTGTTATTTTAAAAGTAACCCATCAAAATCTCTTAATTCACGAATCGAATTCACGTAAATATATTCTTGTATATAAAATAAGTCGTTTCCGATGTTCACTTTGTATCTCAAAATAATTACAAATAATTCATTTAATATAATATGTCTTAACCGTTTAATTCTCAATTCGATCTTCGAAATATGCACTTGGTAATCAAAATCACCACAGGATACTCAACATACCATTCATGAAAACATATTTGATACCATGTTTAGAAAGCTAAATTTTATAAAAATGAATTATATACATTTTAATACTAAAAATTATTTAATATCAAATAAAATAATAATTATCATTTCTAGTATAACAATTGATCACTAGGTATTTGTCTAACCTTGTACCCTGTCTGATTTACTTTTTGTTAGGAATAACTCGCATTTATCATTTTAATACTTCACCAGTCGTATTCTCATATGGTGCAACAGACACTAAAAATGCAGGTTGACAAGTAGTTTCTTGGCTAACTCTTATCAACGACATGTTTCCAAGACCTCAGTCCCATTGATCATGTACACAGTTGAGTCTACCGTCTTTCCAAGACATATGAATGTGGTGTTAACTTCATTAGATCGGTCTTAGCTTCTTTGGGTAATTCTAAACCTTGTATAAATTCCCTTATATGTTCTTTGGTAACCTCCCTTCCCCTGGTTAGCTCCTTTAGCTTCTCGTAAGGCTCTGGAACATTGTATCTCCGCATGACCTACGGATCAAGTTAAAACAAAAAGATAAATGAAAATACAGAACAAGATAAATGCATCGATTCAAGCCACTACTGCTTCGCGCTTACAGAAAGATGAACCAAGTATAGAATAAGATAAATGAAGATCGGATGATACATACAGTCTGAATTGGCTCTGCAAGTACCTCCCATGCCTGGTTCAAATCTTCACTTAACCGAGCTTCATTAATCTGAAATTAAAATGGAGCTTAAGAGAGATGGCAGTATGCAGTCAAGCACCCAAAACTCCAGTTTAGAGTAAAATCAACAAGGGCTATTGCATCATAGGTGATATCTAACAGCTAATGAATACATGTCGAAGAAGAAAACATGCTAATGGTCCTTACCACAATTCAGATGTATCATGAATTCCAAATTTTCAAAAATGAATAACCAAATCCAGCACTTGATTATTAAGAACATTCAGCACTAAAATGATCACCATGCAGTTTAAGGAGATTTGGAAATTTTCTGTTATGCAACATACCTGGAGCTTTCCAATTCCTTTTAACGCACTTTTGTAAGCAAGAAGGGAATGACCAAGTCCTCCCCCCATGTTCCTCAAGACAGTAGAATCAGTCAAATCTCGCAGCAAATTCAACACATAGATGTATTTTGTTAAAACAAACTTATTCTATTTACTTATAACCTATCTTTACATGCATAAAAATAAGCAGCTATCCTAAAACAGAAACACCATACCTGCCAACGGAAAATAGGCAACTTCATGCTCAGGTAAGTTAGGTCTTCATTAGCCTTACCAAGATTACCTTCACTGTTTTCAAAATCGATAGGGTTTACTTTATGAGGCATTGTTGATGAGCCAATCTCACCAGCTTTAGTTATCTGCTCCAAATTTTTATCACAAAAAGATAATTAGGTTGGGGTAATAACAATTCTCATAAATTTAAAGTCAACATGCTATATCAAAACAGCCACCTGCTTAAAATATCCTAAAGATATGTAGCCCCATATATCTCTGTCAAAGTCGATCAATATATTGTTAAACCGGATAATTGCATGATAAACTTTTTCCATATAATCATGTGTCTCAATCTGCAAACAAGGAAAAAGCACGTTATCCCAAGTGAAGCACGTAAGCTTATTACATATCATACTACTACAAGGCTAACTAGTCCTTCAACTGGGGTATATATTGTTGCAATCTAAGATGAAGAAGAGCAGGAAACAGACCAGAGTAACGTGGGGATTAAACGTTAATCCAAGAGAAGTCACAAACTCTTCCGCTATTTGAGGCCAGTTTATAGTAGGATATGCAACAAGATGGGCATTGTAATTTCCAACTGCACCAGAAAATTTTCCCATCATCTCAACTTGAGAAATTTCTTGCATTTCTCTGCTTAGCCTAACAGCAAAAATGGCCATCTCCTTTCCCAAGGTTGTAGGTGAAGCTGGCTGAAAGAAACTAACGATTTAGGTGATCGAGTAATAACAGATATCTACAGAGCAAGTAATATTAATAGTTTACGTGCAAATAAAGAAACAACAAAAATATTAACAATCTAGGTATACATGATGCTCTCTATCTTTCTGAGATTAACTCGAGAGTTCAAAGACTGATGCATCAATCAAAAGATTATTTTCCGAGTGGCTACGGCAAATTAAGAGTGAGAAGATTATTTCAAGAATGAAGCACTCTCCTACCTGGCCATGCGTGCGAGAAAGCATAGAAATGCTTGCATGAGCCTTAGCCATCTTACATATTGCCTCGATCAATTTATCCATAGTCGGAAACATGACTTTGGTCATTGCTTCTTTCAACATCAATGCATGGGAAAGGTTGTTTATGTCCTCAGATGTGCAAGCAAAATGGAAAAATTCAAGGACCTAAAAGCAGAGAGAGAATGTTATTTGACCTAAAAAATGGACCACAATTTGTACTGATTAAACAAATTGTTAAAACGAACGAAATTGAGTCAAACAGAAAACGATAGTATGTCGATATATAAACAAAATAGTACATCCCAACCTTGGCAATTTCTGGCTGTAATTGGCATTTCTGTTTCAAGAAGTAGTCAACTGCTTTTACATCATGGTTAGTTACTCTCTCTATTTTTTTAACTTCCAAGGCATCATCCATGCTAAATCCATCAATGAGTCCTTGCAAATAAGACTGAGCTTCTGCACTAAAGCTTGGTACTTCAATGACTTCAGGAATTCGCGAAAGCATCAGCAACCATTTAATCTGACAGAGTATTTATAATCATAAGAATCCTTCTACAAAGCGAAGGGAAAAATACACTAATTCAACAAAAAGTGTGCAGATATCATTTGCTTTCTATGTTGCCTGGAGTTTAATTTTCTTCAGATGGCCTGTTCCTAAAACAAATCCTTATCAGGTGAGTATGATTGTAGAAAATTTGATCATACCCCAATCAAACACTCAACTTGAAGCCAAGTAACACAGTTTGCATTGACAAACTAATTTCTAAAGTAGGCAACAACCAGACCGTGTTACAGGATGTGTGTTACCCTTTGATTCACAGCACCCAAACTTTCACAGTATTTCCCATGAAACTATATCGGTAAGCTTAAGGGTTATCATAGATTAAGTTAACTTAAGTCACAATTTAACTATGCTTTGCCTGAATTAGTATGATCAATTCAACTTCTAAGATGTATATGAATTTGATTGCAAACAATTTGCAAATGGAAAACAATACAAAAAGCCCCAAAGGACAAGTTGGCATATAAAAATTTAAAACTTGTAATAAAATTGCATTACAAATTGAATATATAAAGAGAATCCTGATTAGAAACTTACCTCAGCAAGAACCCTAAAGTAAATAAGCCCATATTCACTCATGTGGGGAGCTAAGTCCTTCACTTTACCTCAATAACGACCATCCAAAGGTGACAATGCAGTTAAAGTTGACAACTCGAACTCACAAGAATTATCTTTAGAAATGCTAACCACCTACAACAAATTAAAGAAATTAGAGCACATACACACATGAAAGATATGTCCTTAAAAAGATATAGAGTCATAGATATCACTTTAGAACCTGAGAAAATTCTGTGTTAAAACTAACGTTTACTACCTTAAAAAGATATATCCTTTCTTTCTTTTTTCCAAAATCCAAACAAAAACAGAGCTCCATCACTAAAAGAAATAAATATTGCAAAATCTAAACCAAGGGGTAAAGAGTAAAACCTGGTTGACACCATGGCTTCTGCTAGAGAAAGTAGAGCTAAGATGAAAGGAAGCATTTGAGAATTGGTGGATGTTTTTAGTATTGCACAAACCAGAGATGCTCCTTAAACTTTGGACTTTGGAGTTTCCTTGGTTGTAAATGGACTAGAAAGGGAATATGGTTTTTGGTTAAAACCCCATAAGAAACCTGACTTCCATCCAGGCCCAATCCTGACTATTTTTTTGCTAGAGGTGAAAATAAAAAATAGATCCTAATATAAAAAAAATTAGGAAATATGTAATATACAAATTTTATTAGTTTTTTATTAAATTTAAAAAATAGTAATTCATTATAATATAAAAGATGTCAAAAAATATATTTAAGAATACAAATACTTATAAAAATATTACATTCGATCATTTTTTATGCAAATAGTATCAACATCAATGTTTTCTAATATAATTTTCTCAATACATAACATATCATTTGATAATAAAAGAACGATATTATTTAGAATTTGAAAATATATAAAATTAAAAGAAATAATTTGTAAATGTGGTTTACCTAGAATTTTAAGAACAATCTTCAATATGATTCAAGCACCATAATTGATAATAAACAATTGTGACTTTACGTGTGAGAGAAATATGATAAATTAAAAAATGAGAATAATAATTTTCAGATGAATCATAAAACATAAAAGAGAAAAGAAGCATACTAATTATACTTAAATTTTATTCTCTCATTAAGTTTTTTAAAAAAATACTGTTAAATTTTTTTATTGATATAAAAAACCGGTAAAAAATTTGGTGAATTGATAGTGGGAATTTGGAAAGACCAAAATTAAAGAGTTCAATTGATTTTTTTTTTATTTTGAGAAAGAAATATTAAATTAGAATTTTATGGAAGAATAATTTATTAATGTTAATATAAAATTCAATAAAGATAATTGACACCTTAATAAATTCATGAGCCCATTATTTTATTGAGTAAATTACGTGTTTAGTACCTAAATTATCAATTTTGGTTATTTTTAGTACCTAGACTTTCAATTTTTTCAAAACCATACGTAAAGTTTAATTTTTGTTTCATTTTAGTACCCGCTGTTAAAAACTTTAGTCTTTTATTTCATTTTAGTACACATTCAAAATTTAACGTTAAGTTTTAATTTTTTTTGAAATTTTAGGTACTAAAACAAACAAAAACTAATAGTTAGGTACTAAACACATTTAGTTTTTAACGAAAGATACTAAAATGAAATGAAAATTAAACATAAGTTATGATTTTGAAAAAACTTAAAAGTTTAAATACCAAAACGGATCAGAAGTAATAGTTTAGGTACTAAATTCATAGATTACTCTATTTTATTTTACAAATTTTAATTTATTATCAAAATATAAAAAGAATATTGTACTAATATTTTTTTATTTTGTGGACCTGGGCGGGCGTCCCTCCTGCCCTGGCCCTGGGCCGGCCTGTTCCACTTCAAGGGAGTAAAGCTTCAAACTGTGGCTGAAGAGCCGGGGCAAAAATAGATGCAGGTCTCTCTGAGGTATAAACCCTAACCTTCAAAACCCAATTAAAATGTGTAAACTAGATCTTTAGTCGTCTAACCATTATTGTATTTATACTTTAGTCGCTGCACTATTTTACTTCTTAAAACCAGTCATTAAATTGGGTCCTGAATTCAATAAATTTAATTATTATTATTTATAAATTATTTTTAATTTATTTTATTTTAATTTTAATTTTAAATAATTTAATAAATTTAATCCTTTAATCCGTTCACCTATGCAGTTAAAAAGTACTTTTACCAAGAGGTGTATACGAGCCGAGTCGAGCTCGAGTCGACTCGAAAACTCTGAAATAAAGCTCGACTCGAAAACTCGCGAGCTTAAAAATTTTAAGCTTGACTCGAACTCGAAATCCTGAACTGAAGCTCGTGAGCAGCTCGAAAAGGCTCGAAATGAAAAAAACCTTAAACTTAACTAGATTGAATCTTCAAACTCAAACTCGAACTTGAACCATAAATACATGAAAATCTTATTGTATTTTTAAAAAAACAACATTTAAATGTTAATATTATTAATAATTTATTTTAAAAAAATAAAATCTTAATATATTATATTTTCGAGTTGCTCACGAGCTTTTCGAGTAGAGTATCAAGTAGCTTGTTTCGGCTCGTTAAGAATTCGATTCGAGCTCGAGTCGAGTCCATTCGATCCGAGTATTTATCGAGCCTTGACCGAGTCAATCTCGAGTAACTCACGATCTATCTCGTCTCATTTACAGCCATACTTTTACCACCAAAAGCGCTTAAAAGCAGTGCTCAACATGTTAAAATTAAACAAATAAGTGATTTTCTACAGCATTTAATAGAAATGACTATCTAGCTCAGTTGGTAAAGCACAAGGTTCTTAAAAATTGAGGTCGTGGAATCGAGTTCCACAGAGGGTATTTCATAATTCGTAGGTCTTATACGGAAGTTGCTCTCAACCTGGTATTAAGGGCAACCTACTAACTTACCTCCCTCTTACCCCATTACATATGGAAACAAAAGACAATCATTTTTTCTACAGCACATAACAGTGTCACCGGAAAAATTTAAAAAATATAACTTTTGGGCTTTTAGAAATTATGTTTGATATTAATTGACATATATACCCTTTGTAATTTATGAACCCAACAACATGATATTTGCTCAGGGAAAGTCTAAAAAATTAACATAATTTTAGACTAAAAAACGACGGAAATAAACACAATAAAAATATTATAAAAATATAATATTTTAGGTTAGACACAACTAAGAATGTTACTTTATTCTTAATATTTTTGAATTAAACTTAAAATGTTACGAACAATATAACATTTTTTGGATGTCATCCAAAAAACTTATGAAAAAGTAATAAATTAGATTCAACCGATGATATTACGAAGAATGCAATATTTTATGTTGTACCCATTAACGATTGCTCTGCATGAAAAAGAAAATACTCTATAAGATTTCATATCATTTGTTGATTTTTTTCCCTATATATATCAACTGTTGAATAACACAGTAAAGAGAAAATTTCAGAATTTAATTGTTGCCCTCCTTTCTATTTTGACCCATTCTCATATTTTTCTTGATATTTTCATAAATGGGTTTTATATTTTTAATGTTTGTCAAGATGAATGATATTTAATTCTAAGTTTCTTTGATATTACAATGTTTTGTAAATTATATATTTTTCATTTTTTTAGGTCCTACTTCCTAATTTGATGGGTAATATCACATGAGCTGGCCATTGTTTTTTCTTTTGTTTTTGATCTGCTCCTGCTTTCCTTTGTATAGTGATCCAATCATTTGCTTGTGCTGTAATTCTGTTATAATGATTATTAACTCGTTGCATGTATTTATAATTTATAGTTTTATGAAAGAAATATCTCATATATATATATATATATATATATATATTAATAATAAATTATTAAAATATATATTATATATTATAAATTGAAATCTTTTATATATTTAAATTAATGAAATTAAATATTATGACGAAATGTCTAAAACAAACATTTTATTTTATATTTTTAAAGTGGGAAAGAGGCCACCAGGCCAGTACAAAGGATTTATGTCTCAAGAAAGAGGGGCCATGCAGATCTCTTTGCATGTGGTTAGCAACTCCAGGCAGGGGGTTCGTGATAATGCAGGGGTTATATATATTGAATACAAGATAATTTATGTTAAAGAGTCGTAACCCTCAACAATAAAAGTTCATATTCATGCATACTCTTGCTCAAATCCTAAATTTCAATGAATAAGAATAATTTTTTAATCATTAAAATCATTTGATTCGTGCTTACTTTAACGTTTGAATTTAATTGAATTAAAATCCAATCGACACGTTCTTTTAGCTACCTTTTCTCTCTCCAACCCTTGTCTACTCAACAATTAAAGTACCATGATTTTTCCTTCATTTTCCTTCCACATTTCCTTTCCATCAGATTCTTTTTTTTTTTTCGCAAACCAAACAAAGAAACTTATTTTCCCCCTCTATTTTCATTAGTATTAAGTATCCAAATAATCATCTCTTTTGTTCAGTTGGGCTTTACTTTGCCCAACCATCTTTCATTATTTTCCTTTTTCCCCTTCACTATATTGCTTTGTTTTTTATATAAACTCTAAGTTGCGAGCATGGTTTGTTTACAATTCTCCAACAATTTCAGCTTGTTTTACTTTAATAAAGAATAAAAAAAATCCCCCAAGAACTTTCCCGCCTTGTTATTTTTCAAGATCTTTTGGATTCTGATTTTGATGCTCTCTTAAGCATCTTTCATATTTCTTTCATGTTAAAATTGCTGTTTTTTTAGTTCTGATTTTCCTTTCTTTTTCTTCCTTATGGAAGCTCTGTTTGCAACTTCTTTTATGTCAAATTTAGGTTTGTTTGATCAAGATATTAGGAAAATCCCATATTGGACCAAGGAAGAAAACAAAAGATTCGAGAGTGCTTTAGCAATATATGGTGAAGATGTTCCTGATAGATGGATAAAAGTTGCAGCAATGATTCCAGGCAAAACTGTTTCAGATGTGATTAAACAGTACAGAGAATTGGAAGAAGATGTTTTTGATATTGACTGTGGAAGGGTCCCCATTCCAGGTTACCTTACCTCATCTTTTACATCAGAAATGGTGAATCATCATGAGTTTGATGCTTACAGGAAGAGATCCACTGGGGCTAAAGGGCCTGATCATGAGAGGAAGAAAGGGGTTCCATGGACTGAGGAAGAACACAGGTAACTTCCCTTGAAAAAAAAACATACTTTGATGATTTTAAGTTACAGAGTGTTTGTTTAGTGAGAAAAAGTTGTAACCATTGTTTCCATGATGATGATGGTATAGGAGGTTTCTGATGGGACTAATGAAGTATGGTAAAGGGGACTGGAGAAATATATCAAAGAACTTTGTGATTTCCAAGACTCCAACACAAGTTGCTAGCCATGCTCAAAAGTACTATCAGAGGCAGGTCTCAGGAGGGAAAGATAAGAAGAGACCAAGCATCCATGATATAACAACACTCAATATCACCGCCAACACTGTTTTTTCACAGGATCAATCTACTCATGCTCTTGCATTGAAGCAAAAGCTGTCCAGCATTCAAAAATGGGACCATAACGATAATGTTTCGGCTACGGCTTTGGAAGGGGACTGGTTTACATCATCTGAGCAGTACCAGACTAGTATGTATGGAGCTCAAAGCTCAGTGTTTTGAATATGAAATGTATGGACGGTTGTTGTCTCTTTTGCCTCAAAATGTTTCAATTTCAAATCTAATAGTGTGTTGCCAAAGGGTTTCCCAAATGCTGTTTTTCATCATCTTGTTTATTACAGAATGATGGAATCATGTACTAAACACCAGTGACCAAATCTTTCTCGCTCTTCATTTTTCTTGAAGTATTATACACGTGTCGGACAAATATTCGTATCCGGTATTTACACCCGAATCGTCTAACTAATGTATGAGTTGAGCATCGCTGCCATGTCAGTCGATAATGTGGTCTAGTTGGCTGAATCACTTGGCACTGTCCCTTCCCCGAATCTGATTGCTTAGCAAGGGTTAGAGGACCCTTTTTTCCGGTCATTGTTTCACCTTAATGGATCCAATATGGCCAAGTTGACCATAGCTTAATTGCAGCCATCATTTAGTCGAAGCTGAGCATGCATTCCACTTATGCTTCAACACTGCCATAGACCATAGAATATTAGCAATATGCAATGTGATTTACATTTTTAAAATCACAATCTTTCAAGTTTCAAGCTAAGTTGAGTCAAGTTCAAATTTTAACTTTTCGAATTGAGTTGAACTCGACAAAACTCAAATTTGACTCAATTTGTTCACATCCATAACAACACCCACCTTATTCGATTTGAATTAATATGATAGTGTCATATTCATGGAGATTATATATGTCACAAATTTCACATTTATATTATATTAAAATATAGAAATTTTAAATTTCAACCAATCTAAATTGATACAAAATTTTTTATATCGACGTCTAACATGGCTCGTGAATAGATAACAAATGTCCAATCTATCTCCGTTGGGTAGCAAATAGGCATGCGAAAAATGAGGAAAAGAAAGCTTATGACTGTATTTGTTTCATTTCTCAGTTTGGCGTTGTGGGATGGATCCACCCCCACCATTGTTGCAGTTGTAACTATATGATGAAATGGCCACCAAATTACTAGTGTTCCAAAATCCACAAAGCAAACATGATGATTATGTTAGAACCGAATCATAATAAATATGAAAATAACCAGAATTTAATCATATCAAATTATCAATAATAAATTATTATATTTACAAAAGCGTACTTGAATCTATTGTTGGAGATTAACTAGAAGGTTGATATATTTGAATGTTTCTTTGGTTGTAATCTGCCAAGAAGATAAAATTCCCTTTACATAACTGATTTAATAATCATTTAATTGATTATGTTATTATTTGTACTTATAACTCTGTCCCTCATCAAATTATAAATACAACTTAATAATATCTACACTTTTATTTCCATTATACTTATAATACATTATGATTTTATAACATAATTGATCACTTAATTTATGTTTTATTTTATGATAACAATATATATTAAAAGTATGTGTCATAATTATGAATTTTTTTGGTACAAACGAAGTGACTATGTATAATAGTCTACCATCTTACAACATAGTCTCCTTCTAAATCCCTTTTTAACAACTCTATTATCTCTTCTGAGAATGTGAACTCCCCCTCTTTCTCAAAAGTCATATTAGCAAGACGATCGACACATCGGTTCCTCTCTCTACATATATGTCTAATATCCAATATTCATCCCTCTTTTCTTAGATCTTCACAGTCTCTATAAATCATTTCTTTTTTAATATCATCAACCCTCTCCTTGTCAAGGGATTCGATTACCCATTTTGTGTCAGCTTCCACAATGAATTTGTTTACTCTCTATTCTTTGGCGAGCACGAGGCCCTGCCATACCCCATAATTATAAATTTTAATCCAACATATTAACCTCAAATATTCGTATTACCCCATCCTCATTTTTCTAAAATATTTATGTTCTAAATATTTTTAAGTATAGATATAAAAATGTGATTTTTTAGACTTCAAAGGCACTTCATTTAAATGAACTTTTTTATATAAAAGAATCAATATGTTTGTGTACATATCAAATGTAATTAACGTAATTTATTAAGCGAACTCAGTAGTAAAAGGAATGTTGTTTTCTTTAAAAGTTTCAAGTTCGAACAATTACACATACAAGATACATGCGCGTTGTTAATGGTTAATAAAATGTAATTAACGTAACTTTATATTATATTATTAATTTAATGGAGGATCAGCCTTTGTTTTGCAAGTTGCACATGAAAGTAGTGTTTCCAACTCTATTCTAAACATGATCAAACCCTTTTGAGAAGGTTACACTATTTCCTTTCTTTGGCCATCTTTCTTTTAATTTCCACAAAGAAAATACGTTAAAAATCACACTTTAGCAATCACACAATGATCAACCTTTAAAATCCCCTAAAGAACTTCATTACAACATCATGATGTATCTCCTTTATATATTAGGATCATTATCCACTCACACAATATAAAATCTTTTAATTTTACATATATTTAAGAAAGTTGGATGGGTGAAAATAGATTATTGAGATTGACTCATTTTTTTTCCAGTGAATATATTCTCATTTCCTACTGTTAATCTCAACCATCTATTTTCACTCATCCAAATGTCCTAAACATGTGTAAAACTAAAAGAGTTTTACATTGTGTAATATGATCATGTCCCATATATATATATAGAAAGAGGGACAAATGCATGATTTTATGTTAGGAGGGACAAACTTATAAAATTTTAGTAAGAGACGAACTTATAAAATTTTAAGGGGATGAAAATAAATTTTCAATAAATAATACATAAAACATCTAAAATGTATGATGATTTTAAATTATTAGGGAGACGACTGCCCCCACCCCTCAATCCATATATATATATATAACATAGTAGTCTATTTTTTGGGGGTGATATTTGGCTTTAGACTACTTTTTGTCGTTAGATTCCATACAGTATGATACAATTTTGTTGATGTTATCGACCATATAAAATTGTATTTATATACATGGCTTAGTATAATTTGGACCATGTTATATACTTGAATTCAAGTACACAAATATGTTTAATTTTTATGTCAAAAGTGTCATTCAAATATGTTTTCGAGGTATTGCAAGTAATCTGCTTCTAGGATGTAGAAATAAGGTTTAGGGTTTAGAGTTTTAGAAAGGAGTGAATTTGTTGAGACGATGTATTTGATTATGCACATGAGAAACAAACTTCTTGACACGGTGTGTTTGACATTGCAATGGGAAAGAATCTAATATTTTTAGGAGTTGGATACTCTGTAGGCGAGACACTATGGTTCTCGAGGTCTTTCAAGTAATCTATTCCCATTGGTTGTAAAAATAGGGTTTAAGGTTTTAAGATGGAACAATTTTTTTAAGACAGCGTGTTTGATCGTGCACATGATACTTGGAAACAAACTTGTTGACATGGTTTGTTTGACCATGCAATGGGAAAGAATATAATACTTTGAGGAGTTGAATACTGTGTCAGTGAGAGGTCTTGCAAGTAATCTGCTTCTATTGGTTGTAGAAATAGCAGGGATTCTGAGGTCTTTAAGCTTTGATTGACCATATACATTAGTTCCACAAGACGTGTAAACTTTTGGAAAATCTAAGCAACAAAGGACAGACAACAGAGGCAATGAACCAATCCTTTACACTTGAACAAGGTACTATAAACAGTGTAGGCAGCAAGCACACGAAATCACACTCTCTAATTTCAATTATTCAGGAAAATTCAAGCTAAAGGAATCCTCTGATGCAAGGTCACGAATATAATCAAATCCTAATACACCAAATAAAAAAAGCATAAATGACAATACCAAGATAAGCAAACAAGGAATCATTTACAGGGCCACTGAAGGGTGAAGAGCCTTCAGGGCTCCAGCAACTGTAACAGCAATTAGAAGGGGGAAAATGGTTCCCAATTTATTTATAAAATATATATTTAAGTCTAGTGGTTTTTATTATTGATAAATAAAACTATTATATTATTAAATAAAAATTTAATTTAATTTTAAGAAAAATAAAAATATATATATATTTAATTCAACATTAATAATGGGAATTGCATTTTTATCCAAATTATGGTTCTTACTTCCTTTAAAAAAATAGCTATTCCATTGAAGAGCAAGCCCGCCACTTGGAATGGGGACTTAAATTTCAAGTGAAATACACAGATCTTTGGACGAGATGAGCAGCTGATCAAACAAGTCTTATTTGATAAAATTATAAACGGAAACCATATCGACAGGTTGAGATGGCCGAGTTGGTCTAAGGCGCCAGATTAAGGTTCTGGTCCGAAAGGGCGTGGGTTCAAATCCCACTCTCAACAATTGGGTTTTCGTGATTTTGTTCAAAACCCATAATAAGACAGATCCACAAGGCTACGGATTTGACTCTGTTGTAGGAATGATAACAACAAAGGGTCACTTGTCTAAATACAGACATGACTTCTCAGCAAATAAATTGCAAATGAAGCCTCCAAATATAACTTAATTATACAAATTAAAATCTAAATTAAAAAAAATTGAACAAATTTAAACAAAATACAATCCTAACCAAACTAAATATTTTGTGTGATAAACAAAAACATTGTTTTGTGATTCTACCTGAGTTGGGCATCTTTGGATTAACAAGCATTCGTCTTATGTGTCCATCTTTTTAAAGACACGTGCTCTACAGAGTTCATCAAACATATCATCTAGGCGTGAGATGAGATGTTTATACTTGATTCTCCATCACTTGATTCTCCAACTTCTATGTCTCTTCGGAATTGAAACGATACGCAAATCGGTTTGAAGTGGAAGAACATAGAATTAGATCAATTTGATGTTCTATGTCCTTCAATGGTGGCAAACCTTTAGGTGGATCATCTAAAACATCATAATATTTATGCATAGGGGTGAGCGTTAGATCTAGTCGAGTAAAAATATTCGAGTTATTCAAGTTGACGAGTCATATTTTGTAACTCAAACTTGATTTGAAATTTTTTAGTTGAGTTGAGTTTATAAAATTCGATTCGAATCGAGTTGTTCGAATTTCTATTTAAATTTAATTATAAATATTTATAATATTATAATACTATTTGATTCTAATTTAAATGACTTTCTATATATATATATATATATATATACTCTTCATAATTTTTACACGCACGCGCGCACACGCAAATATTTGCCTTGTCTTGGAAACACGTGTATGAATCATTTTTGGGGTTTTATGGATGATTTTCTTCGTTGTGCCATTTGATGTTGAAGTTTACTCTTTTCCTGTATGCTTCTATTTGATTTGTATATGTTCTCATCCCAAACTGAGGTTTCGTTAGAGAATTTCCTCCAAAACATTCTTGGACGCTCAGACCGATAAAGGTATAACAGCTAGGTGCCTTCCCAAACATCTCCTTCAATCATGTTTTGATATTTCTTATTAGCATCATGGATTGGGTTGTTACGAATGCTCACACCTAAGTTTGACTAACGTTGGTTTCATGTTTCCTTTTCATGTTAACCCTGTAAACACAAACACACTACAAGTGATTGTGTGAAACAGCCTAAACACGAATATATGTGAATCGAGTGTGTTGTTTTATTATACAATTTCATGCTTATTAAACTTGTTGTTTCCGTATCGTGTTGGAATTTAGGTCAACAATGTGGGAACAAACATCAGGATGCCAACAATTGAGTACTCTTCCGAAGAGTATTCAAAGCTGATTTCTACAAACTATGAATCTTCATTCCATTTATGCCAACTTGCGCATCCTCTTCTAAAAGAATCTGGAAAAGGAAGCATTGTGTTCATTTCATCTGTTGCAGGTCTGCTCCGTGTTGGCTCTGGATCCATTTATGCACCAACTAAAGGTAAGTTATCTTCTTAATTGACCCTTTGATATTCATCATTCAAACTTGTACTATTTGTGCAGATAACAAATTTGATCATCCTAATCCTAATCCACATCCATTATCCTTTTATTTATAAAATGCAGATACTTTTCAAATAAACTTAACCCTACTTAATTCTGATATTTAACAGAATATATATATATATATATATTGGAGTATCATACCCTCAGCCCATGTTCGAATATTGTCTCGTATTTGTTGTTTGGCAGCTGCTATTAATCAACTTACAAAAGACCTGGCTTGTGAGTGGACAAAGGATAATACAGGACCAATTCTGTTGCTCCCTGGTACATCAGAACCTCACTTGTTGAACATGTAAGATTTCCCATTTCTTGTTCTAGTTTTTCCCATTTATCATCATTTTATAGGATTTCTTTATATGCTTTGCATCACATTTTAATTATTTCTTCATATTATGCTTATCTCTTGGTCGGGCCATTATTAGAATAGTAATTTGGATGGCATCGTTCTGGCTTGAATTACCTTGTCCAAAGCTAGACTTGGAAGCATAATCCGATCTTCTGATGGATCTGAGTCTAACAAATTTGTCGTGTTAAACAAAAAGTAATAAAGATGAAAATGCTCAATCACATGGGTTTTTCTAAAGATGATCTCTTGTTGATGAAGGATTTAAAATCATTTTGAACCCACTTTGGGTCCTTTACCTTTATAATTCAGCACTACTCTCCCTCTAACTTCACCTCCTAAAAAGCCCTTTTACCAAGCCTAAATAGGCCCAATTCCTACTCAAATATGGCCCAACATGCCTCAAGGGTCCAATTAAAATATTAAGCCGGCCCAAAATCATCCCATCCATTAAAATGGATACCAAGAACCCTCGACAAGACCTTTGATAAGACCTGATGAACCCAAAAGATTTTTTAGGATTAAATCTGTGGAAAGTATTATCCTGCGCAGCTTTAATATATTGTTAAGAAAATATTTTATTGGTTTTATTATTATTTTTTAATAAAATTGGTAAAATGTTATCTAAAATATTATTATTTTTATTTAAAATATTAATATTTTTTAATATTTTTAATAAAGTTTTCAATAATAATAAAACCAGTAAAAAATAACAAAACTGGTAGCGTTTTACCGGATATACTAACAAAACCGATAAAACATCTAATAATAATAAATTTGCAGAAAAAATAATATTTCTGATAATTTTTTATCAATTTTGTTAAAAAAATAATAATAAAACCGGTAACAATTTTTTTAGATGTATATTATGGGTGCATTACTTCATTGGTCTGTACATAGTACCTGACACAAATATGTAAAGAGTCGATATATAATTCCCAATAACAGGCAGAAGGGAGACTTCTTCTCGGACTCTTGAACATCCTCATGCTAACTTTCCTTCCATACCCATGTCATCAATACTACCGGTCTATTAATGTCCGATAATCGACAACTGCTTTCCGTCCAAATCAGAAGGGTAAACCGCCAACAACCGACATAACCCATTATTTCCATCAACAATGCCCATTTGATAATTTCCTGCTGCTCCAAAAACATACATCTGATGTTGATGAAATTACCAATGACTAATTCAATTCAGTCAAATATTCTGTCACTGTTTTCCTTTTTTTATAATTATTGATATAAAATTCAGATTTAAAGTTAGATATGAATATGTATTTGACACGAGTACCTGTAATTCTTAATACCTATGATATATTTTTTCATATGAGAACATGATCTTTTAAGGACTCTTTAAATGCATGGAAAAACTTGAAAATAATCGAATACGTTCATGTTAGACAAATACTCATACCCAATGCTTAAATCCGAATTTGAGTAACATAAACATCAACTGTGAATCTGACAGGTTATCAAAGACTGAATATTAATGCTTGCTTTTTGTTGTTGTTGTTTATGTGTGTTTGAAGTTGCTTGAAAAGAAAGAATTCTTGGAAAAAGTAGTATCTCGGACACTACTTGAACGTGTTGGTGAACCAGAAGAAGTGTCATTTGTGGTGGCATTTCTTTGCCTTCCAGCTTCTTCTTACATCACTGGGCAGATTATTTCTGTTGATGGAGGATTCACAGTTAATGGCTTCAATCCTTGCATGAGATTGGATTAAACTAATCTTCCAACCTTAATAATCTTTTATCGTCTTGAATGTGGGTCGTCCTCGGTTTCTAATGGTACGATAATAATTTTGCTGTTGATTATATGTTATTTGGACCTGGATATTGGTGTTCTATACGAGCTTATATCTTATATGGGTATTTATAGGGTCTCTATAATCTTTTGTAATGTTAGAAAATGTCGGAAATAAGTGGTCAAACACAACTACTTCAAAACATTAAAGAACAAAGATTATATCTTGGGTGGTCTTCGTTTGCTGACTTCCTTTGTCATTGTTCATGTGTATGGTGGATTTTCGGATTTGGGTGTTCCTTTGCCAAAGATTCTGTGTTTCTCAATAAACAAGGGTCATCTTAATAGAAATTAATCGCTTCTATTTTTTTTATTATTACTCATAATGTGTTTTTCTTAAGGCATTGTGTCGCATGCCATCCTACGTAAACAAACAGCTCTAAATAACTTGTATAAGAAATGGATGTGCATTGTCCCATGGACCAGATTCGATCATTTCTTCGCAAATGAGAAATCCGACAAATTAATACCAATTTCATGTTGTGTACGTGTCGTTTGAGCTTCTGCAACTATTTGCGAAGAGCTACATTCTTCAACTGTTTTATCAACTTCCCTCTTCTCCAACTGTAATGATCTATGATCAACATGGTGTGTCGGTGAATGTGTGGAATCCAGTTCCCATTGATCGTTCTCGATGTTTGAATGCCTCGGAGATGTCGGGTAACTTCCGACACTTCGAGGATAGTTATGAAGAAGATGAACCGGAGACATCCCGTGAGTCGGAGTAGCAGGCCTGCTTGAATACGGTGTCATGCTCTGAGAATGAGACTGCTTGTTGCTTTGTTTAGTGTGTTTCTTGGCTGTTTGGTGCCAGTTTTTCAATGCAGCGGCGACTCTTTCGTTAAAGATTGTCGATCTCATGTTCGTTCCCATCTGTAAACAAACATTCAAATTAAACTCAATTTTGCACTCAATTTTCCAGCTTTATTTGTTCCAAACATTGTCTTTGAACTTCTTACCTGAGTGACCAAAGCATACAGAGGAAGTGTCACATAACTGCAGAGAAACTGTATAATGAGCCTGAAAATTTGCATTTTTATGAGCAATCTTTTCACTTTCACAAATAAAAAATCTTAGCCTAAAAAAAATACTTTCAAACTCACCCCATTGAGATTCTAATGATTATATCTTCAAGTTTCTCGTGGTAGCAAGATCTTAAGCTAAATTCATACTGAAAACAAAGCAACAATCGAAAACTATTTATTAAATGAGATCAAATCAGTAGAGTAAGAAATATGAATTGGATTAAGAAGAAGAAAATTTGAACTCGAAACATTTAACTTATTTGATTATAAAAACACACATTATTTTTCAGTTTCAATTTGAAATTTGATTATTTGTACTTAAATTCAAATTGAGTGTGTTCGATATTAAATGGAAAGAGAAAGATTCAATTAGGGTTATAAATGGTTAGAATTTAATATAAAGATATTTGTATTTAGTTTGTTTAATGATTAGAGTCTAAATTAAAATTGTATCATAATGAAGTCGCGAATAATTTTTACGAGTAGGGCTTGTTTACCGTGCTCCACGCGAAAAAGGCCAGTTGAAATGCATTCTGGAGAAAGGAAATCAAGAATCAACATATGATGATAATGAGGAAGAAGAAAAAGAAAATGTATTACCGTGAAGAGAACAAGATGAATGATAAAAAGAAGAAACCGGGGTCGACCGAACCAGAAAAGGTCATCACCCGGTTGAACCAATGGTGCACCCTTGACTACTCCCCCTCTATCTTCAATCCTAAGCCCCATTTCCGTTATGATCACTTGCAGCTTCGTCCCTACCATTAGAATTATCTGCGAAAAGCTTGCTCAATTTAGGCCATAATTCCATCTAATTTCTTGCTCCCACTCTCAAATACAAGTACAATATACTTACAACTAAGGGGATAAAGGGTAGCCAAAAATAAGAGTACCATCCTGTCCATTAACACAAAACTGTTTATTAGTCATCGATAAAAACCCTTTAATCATATTGACCTCTACTCATCGCATCAAAAAGAAATAATTACTCAATTATTTATTTATATTTAGAATTTATTTATTATCAAAATCATTATTCATTGCATATAATAAGTTACTATTGAAAGGCTTACCACTGGTATAGGCGAGAAGGAAGAGGACAGCAGTGAACCAAATGATTGGACTGCAAATTCAATATTAAGTTAGTATTGTAACTTTAGGACTTCTCATTTCTTCTTTATTTTTTGATTAAATAGTCGATAATATTTTTAATAAAATAGAAAAGTGAATAAAAATTATTTTAAAAAATCGAATATATCCATATTTAAGTACCTGATCCCAACAACCACTTTAAAGTCCTCCTCTAATGACCTCTTGATGTACTTTTGAAAATCAAATTTGGTTTCATTTCCATGTGCCAAATGTGCCTGAAATCATATTATTGTACTTTCAAATTTGATTTAGAAACACATAGCATAGCATATCATATATACATATATTATAAAATAATACGAGCTTAGCTCACCACAATAAATCCATGTCTCAATGTCATGTAATCAACTTTTGTAACCGATCCAAAGAACTGCCTAAAGAAACACATCTAGTAACGAATAAAGAATTAAATTAGAATTTGGAACCACAATGTTTTTAGAAGGATTATAAATTACATGAAAAATTAATTAAAAAATAAAATTTAAACTTGAGAACTTCAATATTAAATTGGTTAAGCTCGATTTTTTATATAAGATAAAAGGTCTTCTTACGATCCAAAGGGATAAGGTTGAACGACTCCAGCAATTCAAATGTCTTTTTCCAAATGACGTGTCCCTTGTGAATCTGAACCTCTCTGGATCTATATTACAAAATGGTCAACTTCATTAAGTCTAAAGCTTACAACAAAGGAAAGTCAATTTAATAAAAAAATCTATATCTTAATTGATATATAAAATTAATAAAATGGTTGCAAACATTCTTTTCCTTGTATCATAAAACAAAGTTAATAAAATGGGAAAAATAAAGCAATTGTCAAACTCAACTTATGTAGTAAGTCAATAAATATAGGAATTTATTATTAATAATGTATCTCATATGGATCGTTAATGTTATATAAATTATATATTATTAATACATCAAATATTCATTTATATATAAACACTAATTTAATTGAAGAGTATTTTAATTTCAATTTTTTGAAAACTTACCATTGTAGTATTGATATTCGATGGTCTTGGTCTCATTTTCCCAGACTTTCCATTTCCTCATCTACAGTCCAAACAATTGTTAAAGAAAAAATAAATAAAATAAAAGTAGCTCAGAAAAAGAAAATTTTCCAAGAAATATGTGTTTATATATATAACCTTTGTTCTCCCCAAAGCATAGGTTAAGATGCAGTAGAGAATATGAGAAACCGCTAACACAAAGATGAATATATGGAGCTGATGGATACCATAAGCAGATACAAGTGCAACTTTACCCTGGGATAAAAAAATATTCTTTAATAATTGAATAACGGAAGCATAATTTTATACTAAGAACTTAGTAATATTTTTGAAAGGGATGAACTTATATAATTTTATAGAAATAAAAATAATTATTGATTAAAAATATATAAAATTTTAAAATTTTCAAGATGATCGCTCCCTCGATCCATCGCTGAATATGTATACAACATAAGTATTGAACACAAAGTCAAAGGAAAACAGAAATGGTAAATAATCATGCCTGTTCTTGACATTTATCATATTGTGAAGTTGCAAGACTGCGTCTTGAAATATAAAAGCTATCATCATCATCATCTGTTAAATCAACAAGTGTTCTACCGGAAACTTTTGCACCTTCACTTTGTTTATCACATGGATGCCAAGTGTTCGCCAAGTTTTTTGGGATACAAATGTCCGATATGTGACCTTGAAGTACTGTTAGCATTAATGATATAAATCCCATAAGCATAAGCTCTACAGAAAGAAAGAAAAAAAGTATACTTGTTAGTATTTTATTGACTTTTCGGTTTAAAATTGAAAAATGATAATAATTAAAGTTAACTAATTACCCGCTTTAACCTTCTCAAGTGCTTCATAAAGAGCTGTTTTGTGTCTTTTCTTGAACCACTGTGTAAAGGGCATGCAACAATGCAACGTATAAAATCAAATAATTCAATTAGTTTATGAAAGCTATAACGAAAAACAAAATACTATAATATTTGATTAAATAATTATTTTAATTATTTTTTAATATTTTATCTTAAGGTAAAATGGTATAAGATAAAAATTGTTAATCAATAAACTGTCAATGTTCTAAAATAGGGTTTTCTCCTAAAATAAAAGGTTAGGGTCAAAATATTCTAAAAATAGAGGTTAAAATGTCTATTCAGTTAAACAATACAAGTCATTTTATCTTAAAATAAAATATATAGGATAAATGCTTTAAAAAAAAGACTAAAATGATTATTTAATCAAACATTAAAGATATTTTTTTGACATAATGGTGTAACGTAAAGATTAATATATACTGCTGTAATAAAAGAAAAACAAAGTTACCTTGCCAAGAATGTGAATGGCATGTTCAATGAAGATTGAAATAACAAGCAACACAAAACACACCACTGCGACAGCCCATGTTGGTGTCTCCTCCAATGAACGTGCTTTATTTGTTGCATCCGCCATTGGAAGCTTTTTTTTTTTATTGAACTAGTAAAACACAGAGTGTTTCTAAGTATAAAATTATAATGAAAATCAGACGAAAGAGGAATTGCAAGAGAACTATTATTATTTAATGAGATGGAAGAGAGAATAAAGAGTTATTTATAAAGTTTAGTTTGTATTGATGGAATATAAAGTCAACAGACTCATTACCAAAATAGATGACTTTGACTTTTCCAAGGATAGACTCAACAACAACCCCTTAAGATTAATTAACAAAGAAAAACATGTTTATTGGGCATGTGTATTCATATGATTCTTATTTATGTATTCGATTTGTAATTCTCTGAGTTTTGTATTATTTTGATTTTAATTAATTAGTAACGGAGATCAGGTTTAGTTCATTAAGATAATTAATAATGTGGATATAAACCCTAAGATTAAAGACTAAACTGTGTGGGTTGATCTACCCTTAAGATCAAAGTTAATTGATGAATAGCATATTATTTTATTGGATGATAATTGGTGCTAGATGAAGCTAGTTAGGATTCAAGAACTCTGTAACATCCTCAATACCGGGTTAGTGATCAAATTGTAAAGTTTTAGAATTTGGTGACTAGAGTAGAACAATGGATTAGTTCAATGATTTATTTGGAAATAAATCATAAAAGTTGTTAGTAATTATTCAATGAAGTAAAGGGTAAAATGGTCATTTGACAAGGAAGATTTTTATTTTCCCTTATAAGATAAGGAAACCACGTGGGAAGAGAGAAAAGGTTCCAGAGTTCTCTTCTCTTCTTCCTTCTTCATACGTGAAGGCTTGAACAAAATGTGAGTCTTCTATTTAGATAATTTCTGGTTAAATTTAAGGTTGGGTTATGATCATTAGATGATAACTAAGCTTAAGGAAAGCTTAAATTATCTTAAAATCAAAAGATAAAGGAGTTAAGGAAGATTAAAGATTTGGATTTCTTGAGTGAAATATTGAAATAGAGTTTATAATAAGACTTGAAAGTTGAATTTGACTTGCCATCAATAAGAATAAGAGATTTATGAAGTTAGAAAGGATTAATAACAAAGTTGAAAGTTTAGTAAGTTCTTAAAATTTAAGAATCATGATGAAATATGGAAGATAAAGATGGTTTATATGGATATAAGTTGGTTTAAGTAATGGTAGTTGAGTTTAATGACATGATAGGGGCTTAAAATAGAATAATTGAGTGAAAAGTTGATGGTTTTCGGGCTTAAAATGCAAATGCTGGGCAAGGTGTATCGATGCACTCTTTAAAGAAGAAACATCGAATGAAATTAGTGCATCGATGCATAAGGAGTGCATCGATGCACCCCCTTAAAATGAAAACATCCAAGGTGATTGGTGTATCGATGCATGGGTAGTGCATCGATGCAAATGTTAAGGGATGCATCGATACACTGTAGAATGCATCGATGCACTTCAAGGGGAAATTGAAATAGACATTTCTTTTGGTCTAAGAAATGATAGATTAGAGTATGTAGGAATTATAGAAATATATGATTCTGTAAATATCCTTTAATTAAGGGATTCTGTAAATATTCTACAATACCTTATTTTAAGGGATCATATCTCCTAGGATTAATATCTTTCCTTTCTTAGAGTTTCCTACTTTAGAGAGATGATTTGTATATAAATATGTAATTTGTCCTATTGAAAAGAATAAGAAATTACAGAGAATTACTCTGATTTCTACATGGTATCATCTTAGGTTACAGTTTCTTTCCAACCTAGACGATGTCCACAACTTCTTCTCCTACTCCAGAGATCACTTCGAATCCATAAAAATTTTCTGGTTCTGCTGCTCAATCAGAAGGTAATCTGGTCATGAAAGAACCAGAAGGTAAACCTCTTGGTAAAGTTTTTTTCTCCTCCAAGTCGACCCCTAATTGGATCCTCGATTCTGGTGCTACGGATCATATGACTGGTAATAAGGATTTGTTTTGCAATTTTTTTCCAAACTTTGGTAAAGGTGTCAAAACGGCTGATGGTTCTTTGTGTAAAATAGAAGGACATGGCACTGTTATTCTCAATGACCATATTGTACTTAAAAATATCATATTCGTACCAAATATGGCTTGCAATCTCGTTTCCGTTAGCAAACTTTCCACCGACTTGCACTGCTCTGCAATTTTTAATGATATTGATTGTACTTTGCAGGCACTGAACTCGAAGAAGATGATTGGTAAGGCCAGCTTGCAGAATGGTCTCTACATTCTTCCTGGCTCTACTAAAACCGAAATCTCAAAATCTTTCAATGCTTTAGAAAAAGTTGATAATGTTATGTTATGGCAATATCGTTTAGGTCATCCTAGTTTTCACTATCTTGCAAAAGTTTTTCCTGCTCTATTCATTCATAAAAGGCCAAATTCTTTTTCTTGCAAAGTTTGCTCTCTTGCCAAACATACTAAATCAACTTATTCTCCTTCTACATATAAGCCTTCTCACCCTTTTGCTTTGATCCACAGTGATATTTGGGGCCCTTCTCGGGTGAAGAATGCTGATAATTGTAAGTGGTTTATCACTTTCATTGATGATCACAGTAGGATAACTTGGACTTATTTGCTAAAAGATAAATTTGAAACTACTGGTGTTTTTACCCAATTTTATAACATGGTTCTCACTCAAATTTAGGTCTAAAATTCAGCTCTTTAAATCTGATAATGGAAGTGAATTTTTTGCTAAGTCTTTGGGTGCATTTTTTAGGGGAAAGGGCATAGTTCAAATCAGTTCTTGTGTTGACACCCCACAACAAAACAATATTGCCGAAGAAAAAATAGACACCTCCTTGAAGTTACTCGTTCTCTTCTATATACCACAAATGTTCCAAAATAATTTGTGGGGGGAAGCCTTATTAACTGCCACATATTTAATCAATCAAATGCCTAGTAAGGTTTTACAATTTCAAACACCTCAATCTATATTTTTGTAATACTTTCCCCATTTTAAACCTATCTCCTCCATTCTTCCACTTAAAATATTTGATTGTACTGTTTTTATCCAAAACATTGCTCCTAATAAGTCCAAGTTAGATCCTAAATCATTAAAGTGTGTACTGGTTGGGTATTCTTCACTTAAGAAGGGTTATAAATGCTATTATCCTTCTTCAAAACGATTTTTTACCACTATGAATATAATATTTTATGAGCAGGATCCCTATTTCACTCAGGCTAAAATTCAAGGGGAGACATAGAAGGATTTTCAGCCACATCAGGTATCTCCTCCTACTCTTCATTTCAACCTTCATAATTGCCACCAATTTTGTCCTTACCTACAGATTTGTCACCTGTAACTACTCCCATTGATCCACCGGTAGTACCTATCACTACTTCACCCATACCAACTTTAAATACCCTTCCTGAAAATACACCTACTCCCGTTCAAAATATTCCACAAACAACACCAATCAAATAGCTCCGTTTCTATACAAGGAAAAGAAAACATATTCCTGAGGCTGTTTTGCAATCTGATGCTTGCCGAGAATTGGATTTGGATCCAGCTGCTGAAATAGAAGAAGAAATCAGTAAGTCCACTTCCCCTACTCTAGATGACTTCCCTATTGCTATTAGAAAATGAGTTAGACAGTGCACCAAGCATCCTATTAAAAAATTTGCTGGTTATAATTCATTGATGCCGTCTTTTCAAGCATTTACAGCAAACTTGGATAAAGAACAGGTTCCCACAAGCATAGCTGAAGCTCTAAAGGATTCAAAATGGAGAAGGGCTGTTGAAGAGGAAATTTGTGCACTAGAGAAAAATGCTACTTGGACCGTTACGGACATTCCTCAAGGAAAAAAGGTTGTTGGCTGTAAATGGATCTTTACTGTAAAGTATAACTCCAATGGTAGCATCCAAAGATACAAAGCGAGACTAGTGGCCAAAGACTTTACACAAACATATGGGATAGATCTCATAGAAACTTTTGCACATGTGGCGAAGCTGAATACTGTTCGAGTACTCCTAAGTTTGGTTGTAAATTGCGATTGGAAATTACACCAACTTGATGTAAAAAGCGATTTTCTTAATGGCAAGCTAGAAGAAGAAGTCTATATGAAGTTGCCACCTGGCTTAAAGTCTGTTGAAGGAAGTAATAAGGTACGCAAGCTCAACAAGTCTCTATACAAGTTAAAACAATCACCCAGAGCTTGGTTCGAGAGGTTCACTAAAGTCATCCTAAAAAACGGCTACAAGCAGTCCCTCGCCGACCATACTCTTTTCATCAAGGTAACTTCTACAAATAAGAAAGTTATCCTTACTGTGTACGTGGACGACATAATTCTTACTGGAGATGATGAAGAAGAGATTTGCAATTTGAAGAAGTTGTTAAAAAAGGAATTCGAAACCAAGGACTTGGGAAAGCTAAGGTATTTCCTAGGAATGGAGGTGGCAAGGTCAAAAGAAGGACTTGTGATCAACCAAAGAAAATATGTACTTGATTTACTCAAAGAAACTGGTTTTCTTGGTTGTAAGCTGAATGATACACCAATGGAGGCAAGCTTGAAATTTAACAAAGAATATGGGTCCTTAGTAGACAAAGAGAAATTTCAAAGATTAGTTGGGAAACTAATTTATTTATCCTTGACAAGGCCAGATATAGCATTTCCTGTAAATGTGATAAGTCAGCACATGACTAATCCTACTGAAGAGCATATGACAGTAACAAATAGAATTCTCAAGTGCTTGAAGAAAACTCCAGGACACGGTTTAATGTTTAAGAAGACACAAGACAGAACTGTTAAGATCTTTACAGATTCTAGTTGGGCCAGAGACCTTACTGAAAGGAGATCCACTAGTGGCTACTGCACCTTTGTTTGGGGAAACCTTACAACTTGGAGAAGTAAGAAATAATTTGTTGTTTCAAGAAGTAGTGCTGAAGCTGAATTCAGAGCACTAGCATTGAGAATATGCGAAGGAATTTGGCTACTTAAACTACTGAAATAACTTGTCACTAATCAAGAGGATCACTTTGAAGTTTTGTGTGATAATCAATCTGCTATTCAAATTGCCAAGAACCCATTTCAACATGATCGAACAAAGCATGTTGAGATTGATAGACATTTTATTGCTGATCAAGTTAAC